GCCCCCCCAAACCGTCTGGGCAGCACCACTGCAGCTGCCTCTTGCCTGGCTTGTTTAATAGTGGCTGGTCGCTGGACAGGGCAGGGGAAGATGGTGGAGCGGCGTTGGTGCTCTGGGTCCTCCTGTATCCGGCAGACAAGGCTGCGGCTTTTTCTCTGTAGACTCAGCTCACACAGGTTAATGTGAAAGCCGAAATCAATTAAAAATCGTGGACGTAATCACCCTCCTGGGGCATGCAGTGGTGCGCCCTACGGACCTTTCCTCCTGGTGAAGTTCCTTATCAAAAGATAAGGCCCGAGGGCAGCTGTGCCCAGATCCGGTTCATGTTTGTGCAGGGTTCAGCTCCTGCAGCCCCCGTCCCCGTGCCAGGGGTTGTTTGTGCATATCTGGCTTGTGATACGCGCCGGGGTGTTGCGACACGCTGCTGCAGTTCACCCCATTGGTTAGCAGATGGAGTTTCCGGCCTGTTTTCATTCAGTGGCACTTTGGCCCATAATTTGTCATGGGTAAAGCCAGGGGGGTGTCCCGAAATGAGTGAATAAACAGGATTCCCGGGGGCAGTGCATGAGACAGAGGTGTCTCGCTCTCAGCGCATGGAGCTGCTCCCTCGCTGCTGGCTGCGTGGCTGCGGGTTGTGGGCCACGGACCATTGGAGGGCTGAGCCCTTTTGGCTGGAGCAGCGTGTCCCCATGGCAGTGATGGTGGCCTGGGCTGGTCCTAGTAGCCCTGTGATGCTGCGTGCTGATGAAGTGAGAAGGCTAGAGAAACCTCGGTGTGGCTGGCTGGTGAGAGTGAGGCGCACGCTGTTTCCCTCTCCAGATGGTACAAATGCAGCTTTCACTTTCGGGTAAGTGAGGTTGTGAGTAATTTAGAAAATGATGAGTATAAAACACGTAATTTTAAATGTTGGGAGAAAGTATTTTTTAGTATGTTTTCAAATCTGCAGGAGAGCTGTGAGTTTTCAATGAGTGTCGTGTTGTTCCTCTGTCTTTAGGGAGGTGCATATCATATTTCACGATTACAAGTGTAGAATTAAATGGTAGATGACCTTTAATTTCACATTAGAAACTGACTTTGAAATTTTGCAGAGGCAAAAGAAGCTGTACTGATGAGGTGGTCACAGTGCACTGAAAACCTGATTTATCAGCAGAATCCTCCAAGTACTCCATAATGGTATTGTAAGACTGCTTTGGAGGTTTTGCTCTTTGCTTATACTTGGAGAATTGATTCAGGCACAAGCATAAGTTGGGAATATGTATAATAGCGCATTTTTCTCTGGGTGCCTCTCCCACAGCAGATACCCAGGCTCGTTTTGCTTCATTTAACTGAAGGCAGACAAGATAATTAGTTTTTCTCTTTAATCTTTCTCCTGTTTTGTGGCAGTGCGATTGGCTGTCCTCAGCAGGATGTGGTGTTTCAGTTGAAGCTCATAACAGTTATACAGCTCAGGACTTGTCTTTCATCGTTTTTTGTGATTGCTTCTGCATAGATCTGGTCTGAGTGTGCTCAGCTCCTTGGGGGCTTGTTCATTGTTCAGAGAAGTCAGTCAAAAATGCAAAATGATGCATTTTGCCTTGCCTGCGATATATTTTCTCAAGAGAGCTTAGAGAGCAGTTTAAGTGCCAGTATTCCCGAGGCACTCAAGCTTATGGAGCTGTGCTGGTGATTTATTAGTGTCAACAGTGCCACATTCAGAAACAACCAATGATGACTGGGTTTTGAGACTTGGTGTAGGAACTGCCAGAATCAGTCAGATACCATACTGCAGCAGCACCGAAGTGAACTGGTGTCAGAGAGTTGTGCTCTGCAAGTCTGTGAAAGCTTGCAAAGCTCGTCTGTTTGGCCAGTAAGATGGGATCTCTTACGAGAAGAAGTGCCTGCAATATTTGTTCTCATTCTGAGCTTCTCTTTTTGGGGAGAGGTTTCAAAGTCCTGCATTCCTCCAGCAAGGAGCTGGGTGAGAGTGTATGGTGCCAGATGATGAGGCTTGGTGGAGAGCACGGCTGAGAAATGCCATTTGTCCTTCCTCTTATTTTCTTCTGAGATTTTTGTGTTGCTTCCTCTGTGAACTCATGTTCTCCTGTGAAGGTGGGTGCTTGGGTTTCCCCAATGGTTTCTTGAATGAGAGATGCCTCTGTCTTTTAACAGAGGATTTTCGGCAGAATGTTTGCATTTTTCTGTGTTGTTAACACCTGTTGGTGTGAGGCTTTCCCCAGATCATGCCAAGACATGGGAGCTGTCAGTTGTTTTTCTGTCCTGAAGGTGTGCCTGGGGTTGTCAGATGATGGTAGGGCCTTTGGGAAATAAAAGTACTGAAACATGATGTTTATCTTGCTAAATAGCGTGCATTGGTTCAACTTCCAGGTGCTTGTCAAGGCAGGAATGCAGGCACAATAAATGTTTAATTCATTTCCAAGACCTTAGCCTCTTTCTTGCATTGACCCCTGAGGTCTGACAACCGTCTCTGTGTCTTCTCAAGAGTTTTGTTCAAGACTTTAGTCTTTGATAATTCTGGTATTTGGCTATTGATCTGATGAGCTGGCAAAACTGTGTACTTATGAAACTCCAGAAAGTAAACTATGAGCACATACCCTCGCTCTCTGTGGCAGATCCAGGTCAATTTGCCCGCCCAAAGCCAGCAGCTCCGGTCTTCTCATCCCTGACACCTAGGCCTGATTCAGCAAGATGATGTGCTCTGACGTCTCCTTTCTTGCAGTATTTTGTTGTCTCTGCCCTGGGATGAGAGGAGAGAGCTTTCAAGTGCGTGCAGGAAACCCCTTCGGCATGGGTGGATGGGGCAGTAAGTGCTGCCCGTAACCAAGGAGCATCTGGATGGATTTGTGTGACTGTGCCCACAATGGTGGCTCTGTGAGGAG